TTATTATTATTCATTGTCTTTTATCATTATCATTATCATTGTGACTAGTATTATTACTATTAATATTTGTTATTATTATTATTATCATTATTATTATTATTATTATTATTATTATTATTATTATTATTATTATTATTATTATTATTATTATTATAACTTTGGCGACTGTAACTGTAAGGACAGTCATCTCTCCAGAGAATGGTGAAGAGTAAGGACTGTTTACGATTCTGAGGAACAATGAAATGCAAACTGACCTATATTTATGGGGTCTGAGAGAACACTTTTCTCCTCTGGGGACAGTGAAGTGAAAGAAACCACTCCCATCTCAAAGAAACTTTTGCCCGCAGGCAATTGGCTCGCAACGACAGTGGCAGTGCACTGGTTGTCAATGATGTAGTCCATAGGTGCAAATACATTAGTCGTAGCCATCTGAAGAGAACAAAACAAAAACACATTTAACACAAAAAAGCAAAACATTCCTGCGTCGATATGGTGAAATCAATCTCCTGTCAAACTTTTGAAATTAAAAAATTCGACATAAAATTCCGTTTGTTGATCAACTTCTATCCCTAAAAATTAAGTGGCCTGAGCATATTTTATATACATTTAAAACACATTTCCATGTGAATGTGTCAGAGACATATTGTTCTAGGGAGTAAAAAAGGAATGCATGTATTCAGTTTCTAAGGACACAAAGGCTTTGGAAGTCACCGAATTTTGGCTGCCATTTTTTCGCTTCTTTCACTTCTGGAACCAGGCGATCCTTACCTCCTTCAATTACAAATATCTCAACTTCTATTAAATTTGATGGGTACCTTTTTAATAAAAAACAAGAAATATTATGAACAAGCTTTCAGATTATATCAAGAACTCCGGCTGCCCAAAATTGACGATCCTGTGATTCCTCGGTGCAGTCTCACATTCATGCAGTAACGCATCGTGCAAATGATACAATGTTTACACTCCTTTTCTTGTCTGTCTGTCTGTCTGTCTGTCTGTCTGTCTGTCTGTCTGTCTGTCTGTCTGTCTATCAATCTCCTTTTCTTGTCTGTCTGTCTGTCTGTCTGTCTATCAATCGATCAGTCTGTCTGTCTGTCTGTATCCGACCCTTATTACTTCTGTCCTTAAGACCTTCCCACCCTTCTCTTGTTCTCTCTCTCTCTCTCTCTCTCTCTCTCTCTCTCTCTCTCTCTCTCGCTCGCTCGCTCTCTCTCTCTCGCTCTCTCTCGCTCTCGCTCTCTCTCTCTCTCTCTCTCTCTCTCTCTCTCTCTCTCTGCCTTTCTTTCTCTCTTCTTTTAATAATATACATATTATTATATACTTACACACACACCCACACACATAAATATATATATATATATCTCCCATTCTCTCACTTTATATATAAAAAATATATATAATATATTATGTATATATACTCAACATGGGGCTTTCGTGGCCTAGAGGTTAAGGTGCTGGCCTCTCATTCAAAGGTCCTGGGTTCGAATCCGGGTTGTGACCGAAAAATTTTCTTCTCTAAAATTGTCTCCTTTCACCTCATTTCCTGCTCTCTAGCAATGTTCTGTTGTCTGCTTTCATTTCCACTTTCTGCCTCCACCCCCTCACCGCCTTTGCTCCCTCCTCTGGGCTCCTGACTCTTTCTGCAGCCTTTCTACTGCTAATCCTTGGCTCCTCCTTACTGCTGTCTTTCAGCCACACCCCTGATCTTCTGGTAGAAAAGATCTACACCTAGCCTTCTCGGACAAGGGCTAAAAATCTCGGAGGTCCCGTGTGCAAGTTGCGCACGTTAAAGATCCCTTGGTGGTCTAAAATTGATGAGAGTAGGCTTCGGCCGCCACCCG